AGAACCCGCAGTCCGGACGCGACGGACAGAGAGTGAAAAGTGGACACGTCCGGGGAAAACGGAACGTACGGTCACCATAGTCCTCATAAAGCGGGAAATTATAGATACAGTATTTTGCTCGCGCCCTGGGCCCTTTAGAGTTCGTGGGCCCTGGGCAATTGCCCAGGTAATCCGGCCTTGGGCGGAACCGGTTCGCAGCAGCGCGATCCCCCCCCCCACCCCCCCAACCCACCCCCGCTCATCTAATAAGCGTCGCGCTCACGACTTTAGACTCTTTTTTTTACGAGTTTAGGGCATGTCTAGCCTGTGTAATAATCCGGGACTTGGATGAATCACTTTTGAAAAGTTTTTAATTTACCCGGACACAGAGTTCTCTCCTTCCTCGCTGATGATCCCGACATGCTTGCGTTTAAGACGCTGCATCATCCCGTGCCATGCTAAGTCTGACCTAAACGTTGCAGGTAACGCATGTCTTCGCCTGATTTAACTGAAAATGCTCCCAAACTTAAAAAGTTTTTACTTTTTTGACTCTCGCTGCTTCTGCCATGTTCCTCTTCCAAACACCTGCCGGCTCTCCCTCGCGCTGATCTGCCGGCTCTCCCTCGCGCTGATCTGTCTGCGCGCAATGGCGGGCGGGAAGGGGGGGGTGCTTTTGGAAGAGTTGTGCGACACAACGAATCGATGACGCAATTCGTTGCCAACGCTTTTAGTAATCGATTTTCATCGAATTTATCGATTTGTTGTTGCAGCCCTATTGGCCACACAATCATAATATAAGAATTATTAAAATAGAACTCACTTCCTGAGTGAATCAGCTCAAGCTCAGTTCAGTTCAAGTACACCTTCGGAGTGGCCAATCCTGAAGAGACTTTGAACCATCAAAGATTTCGACAAGCCAAAAGCTGTCTGCAGCGACACAGAAACTTGCTCTTTCAGCTGTTCAGAAACAGCTCTTCTAGACGCAAACAACTTCATCTACCGGTTGTGACCTGGAGACATGTCTAGACTGGAACTGGTCGTACTGCGGTTGTTCCTACGGACGTCGGTACCTATGGGGTCCACACAGACTCCCGACATTCCAGATCTACCATGAGGGTCTCCGATCAAAGGTACGTAGTCACGGCATGAATTGCGTCTGATGCCGTTTTGATAAATTAATTCTTCAGTTTATGACAACCACAAATTCTTATACGCAGAATTCATAATTTCTTCTCAATGCAAGGTTCTGACTAACGTCACATTACATCATCACACCCCACATTCCATCCACTTAGATTCATCCATCACATAAAGTTGTTTATAGCTGGCCATGTTTTTTAAATTTGTTTAGAAAATAAATGTCTTACTTTTTATAAACTTGACTGTCTGAATTAATACGAAGTGTGTTTATGATCACCGAATAAGCAAAGAATCCTAATTCTTCTGATCAAACATTCAAAGATCAATCAGGTTGATATCCTATATTTATATAGAACATCATATCTTATTCAATATCTTAATCAATTTCCCTCTGGGATTAATGAAGTATTTTTGAATTGAATTGAATTATTGGTCATAAGTAAATGTCGTACATTAAGCTTAAAAGAAACATATTATCCCTCTTACACCTTTCATGTTTGTTTTTTCCTTTCTGCCAGTCCTGTTAATCAGCTTCACCCAGTTCACCTGAGCCCTGCCTAACTGTCTCCTTGCTTCACCTGTACGCTCCTCCTTTTAAGCAAAGCTCAGGCTCTGTCTCCCTGCCGGACAGCTGAGGCGTTAAAAACGTGACGTTGCAGGATAAACAAACAGGAGTTTATAAACAATCTGTGTTTATGATCCTTGTGTTGTCCCAGTCCATTACATGGTTTTCTCTTGTGGAGTGATCTGTTACAGCTGACTTCTTTATTGTGCTTTCCGAACAACACCGAACAACAGAAATACAAAAGATGGATAAAGGAAGCTATAGAGATAAGGAGACGTGGATGTGGGACCATGAACAGAGACGATGGAGTTTACACGTTGGATCGTGCATGGGACTACATCATCGGAGAGGGGAGAGCGGGCAGCAGAGGGCGGCAACGTCCTCTGCTGCCCACGGATAAACGGAGTAGGAAGTGACGCCACCTTCAGCGTCAGCTCTGAGGATGTTTGGAGCCACAAACGAAACATCAGCAAGGTAAAGAGAAACCTTTCCTGTGTTTTAAAAAGAACCAAAAATGGAATTTGAAGACAAACACAGCAAGAACGTACAAAAGATGTTTAAAGAGAGCTCTGCTGTTTCCTGTGTTCACTCGATAGAGGTTGGAAGAGTCTGCCAAGAGGCAGAAAGTCCAGCCCGACGGCCCTCGAGCCGGGCTTCGGGCCAATGACTGTGTAATTACCTCGGACACGGGCCGGGCCGGGCGCCTTTATTTTTAATCGAATTCATAAAAAAAATTGAAACACTAAATCACTCAAGAAAAGATTCCCATCTGAACATCTGAGCTGGACACTGCTCAGCGCAGCTCGCTGTCAGCGTGTACTACATAAGGTACACAGCGAGCTGAAGATGTGGAGAGGAGCTTAGAGCGTGTCACAGAACCAGAGCGCATGCGGGAAGATTCCTCCGACTGAAGCGAGCGTTTTCCAAACCCTGTCTTTCAGAGAGACTTGTCACTTAGAAAATGGTCCCTGATTATGAAACTTTGGCTGAATAGCACTTGTTCCTGTCTCCAATGTGGCGTTGCATCCAGGAGCCTGTCTGAGGAGAATCCCAGAATCTGACATCCTCTTCAGCTCAGAAAGCGCCAATATGATTATGCACAAGCGTGACCCATCAACCCGGTCTCACAGTAAGACCGGGTTGGACCTGTTCAGGTTTACGCAGACAATCTTTACATTTAGAATTGGCATACAGATGTAAAATTAATGCAGTAAAATGTAAAGCATTTTATTTAAATATCCATTCATTATTTTAAAAGCACAGAGAGCCGCATCAGATGGATGGAAGAGCCGCATGCGGCTCCAGACCCGCGGGTTGCCGACCCCTGACTGAAACGCAGCAGTAGAGCCCTGCGCGGGACTGTTTTCTTCATCCCACTCCTGCCCGCTCCCGCTGAATTTCTGACCATTACCGCCTGCAACTGCAACGTGTGTGTTACACTCCCGCCCGCACCCGTAGTGTGCATGTCTACTCCCGCCCGCAACTGCAAAACTCTGAGAAATTATTACCTCACAATAAAAGAGATGTATTGAGTTTGCGTCCTCTCTGGTCCTGGAGAAAACATGTCACAACCCGCAGCTCTTCCATCCATCAGATGTGGCTCTCTGTGCTTGTAAAATAATGAATGGATATTTAAATAAAATGCTTTATATTTTACTGAATTAATTTTATATCTGTAAGTCAATTCTATGTAAAGATTGTCTGCGTAAACCTGAACAGGCCCAGTATTACTGTGAGACCGGGTTGACGGGCCACGCTTGGGCGTAATCATATTGGCGCATTCTGAGCTGACGAGGATGTGAGATTCTGACATTCTCCTGAGACAGGCTCCTGGATGTGTCGCCACATTGGAGACAGGAACAAGCACTATTCGGCCAAAGTTTAATAATCAGGGAACATTTCCTAAGTGACAAGTCTCTCTGAGAGACAGGGTTTTGGAAAACACTCGCTTCAGTGGGAGGAATCTTCCCGCATGCGCTCTGGTTCTGCGATGCGCTCCAAGCCAATCTCCACAACTTCAGCTCGCTGTGCACATATGTGCTGACAGTGAGCTGAGCAGTGTCCAGCTCAGATGTTCAGATGGGAATCTTTTCTTGGGTGATTTAGCTACATCTGCGATGTGCATAACGAATAAAATGTCAGTTTGTCTGCATGCGTCGGGGTAATTCTTTCTATTCTTTCTCCGTCAAAATAAACGGTCAAATACGGGAACTATCCGGTCAACACAACACAAGCCCTGCTTTTAACTGTTCTGTTTTCTTGTGAAAATTGTTGGAAAGAGATAAAATTTAACTTGATTAACACCAGAGCCAGTGCGCCGTTATCTCCGTGACGGCAAATGAGGGAAAAATAAATTGATCGGATCCTGCACGTCTTTTAACACATTGGTCAGGATTGACGCACTTTGTTTTCATTTAGTTGGTTAAAAAAAAGCCGGGCTTGGGTCGGGCCAGAGAATCCTGAAAACCTTTTCGGACCAGGTCGGGCTGGGGCTCCACCCCCTCGGGCCCGGCCGGACACGGGCTCAGATTTTAGGCCCGTGTAGGGCTCTAGCTGGGAACCATAGCCAGAGGGCGCCAGGGCAGCCGACCTGTGTGGTGCCAAACTTCCAGCCAAGTCGTCTGAATGAGGCAGAACTGGTCTGCAATGTCAGAGACCGCTAAGATGATGCCAGCAGCTCCTTGAGCATCACTCTGCTGGTGAGATGCTCGGAGCGGGGTGCCTGATGGGGGAGATCACATCAACCTCCAGTGAGACCTAGAGGGATGGGAGAGCCATTGTGGCCAGCCTCAAGGCCTCATCGACCTCCAAATTGATGAGGAGGGTCTCATCACCTTCATCATTATCTTCAGCTGGAGTGCCACATCCAGCGGTAAGCCTCAGCCACCAGGAGATGTTGTTGGAGGCTGATGTGAAGGGCGGGGAGCTTCTCAGGTGAAGGCAGAGCAGCACAGAAAGAGGCTGGAGCCCAGTACCTTATGTGATGGAGGTTGCTGTTCACAGCCATGAGGTGGCCCGAGAGCAAAGGTTGTAGAGAAGATCCATAAGGTCAACTGTTCCAAATGATTATAAAAGTTAGCGAGCTAATACGACTACATTTCCCATTGAGCTAAATGGTTGTGAAGAGAAAAGTGGGAGACGAGGGGCTAGCACCCTTTTTATGCCGGAATAGGGCCCGCGGTAGGTGGCATATATTTAAAGCATTTCAGTGATTGGCTAATCCAAGAACAGTTTATCCAACGGCAGCCGTTAAGGGTGGAGCCTATAGGAAATAGAGCACACTGCCCAAACATGTGATGTTCACACACAGACTGACCTTCATCATCACTTAGGAGGGAGGATTCCGACTCTGAGGAATTGGAGGAGGAAGGCACCTCCTTCAGCCACTTCTTCCTCTTCTTTGGTGGAGGCTCTGATCTGTCTTTTGGCATCTTGGTTCTGGACTGACACTCCATCTTGTTCTCTCCTCCTCTCTTTACTTCCTTGAGTCTCACAAGTTCTGGATTTCCGTTCCTTCGCTCTCGTTCTGTTTTTTCCTTTGCTGTATCCTTCCTTTCTTTTTCTTTCAGCTCTATTTGCTTCTCCCTTCTTTCTTGCTCCTGTTTTACCTTTTCTAGTTTTTCTCTTGTCTCTTTTCCTTGTTTCTCTTTCTCTCTTTGCTCTTTCTCTTGCCTTCTTTCATTTTGCTCTTTATCTCTCTTTTCCTTCTCTTTTTTCTCTTTGTATTTCTGTTCAATCTCCTGTTTCTCCTTCTCTTTTAATGCTCTCTCTGTTTTTTCTCGTTCCCCTTGCTCCTTTTCTCTCTGCTGCTTATAAATTCTTTCCTTTTCCTTTTGCTCTTTTTCTCTTTGTCCTTGTTCTTTCTGCTCCTTTTCTATTTCTGTCTCAGTTTCTCTACAATCCCTTTCTTTTTGCTCCCTTTCTTCCTTGTCTTTTGTCATTTTCTCTTTCTGCTCCCTGTCTTGCTTCTCTCTTTCTTTTTGATCCTTTTCTTGTTTCTCTCGTTCTTTTTCTCTTGCTCTGTGTTCCTTCAGTTCTCTTTCCTTCTGTCTTTCTTTGTCTTTGTCATTTCTGTCCATCCTAGTTTGGGACTGATTGTGGACATTCAGCAGCTGTTTAGCCATCGACTGCCGTCTGTCCATCAGATAAAGAAAAACGGAGATCAAAGTCCTGCTTTAAGGTGAATGTTTGTAATTTATGTTAAAGTCATGAAACATAAATCAAACATCTAGCCTTACCTGAGTGTCAGACCCGCCCGGTGCCAAGGCTTCCGGGAACACACTCTGACGTAATCTTTCTTGTTGACATTCTCCAAGAACTTGACATATAAACGCTGGTAGCGCATTTTGGCATCACCAAAGTAACCCAGATACTGCAGAAACATCACAGAAGAATATTTCACACAGCGAATCAAATCTCTGCTGCTGAGCATCTTGTGGAACTAACAGGAACACTTTTAGTTTTAGTTCATTCCAGAATTAAATTTACATTGAACTTGAAAAGCTCCAAAAGATGAAGCTCCTTTTTCTGTTACCGCTCTTCTAGGGTTAGCGTAGGTTATCCTGGCTCATCCCTTTAGTTATGCTGCTATAGGTTTGGACTGCTGAGTACACTGCTGGCTAAAAAGATGTTGCTTGAATTACTCATAAACCTCTAGTTTTTGGGTCAGTTCTTCTCTCCACCAACTCACAGGCCCACGTCACACCCAGTTGTTACACTGTAAAAAATTCCAAGTTGACTCAACTTAAAATAATTTGTAACCTCGCTGCCTTAAAATTTTGATTAACGCTAGCAAATCATATTGAGTAATGTCAACAAACTAGTAAGTTTCTTCAACTTATGGGATAAAGTTCACATAGCTTATTTTCTTTTGTTGAATAAATTTTCTTTTTTCAGTCAGATCAGTATATATATACTAGTGGGTTTGGCATCAGTTGGGTACATGGCGGTTACCACAATGTTCCTGCGCTCGAGATTTGGACAAACAAATGTGAGCTCTGGATATTTAAAATTAAATCCAGTGGATGGTATTAATAAGAGGTTTACGCAGTGACGGCTGGTGAAATCGTTTTTGGTGGGGTACAATTTAACAGGTGCCGAAAAGAGCATGCCAGCCGAGATTGTGCATATGAAAGTGCATATGAATACCAAGGTTTTTAATAAATATGTACAAATAACATGTTTCTTATCAATTTGCTTCCTTACAAAATTATTGTTTATGGGCAGATAAATAAACGAGATGATGGTTTATTTGAAAAAATAATAATAAATATTTATAAAAACTGTAATTTTGAGTCACGATCTTGGTTTTTTTAAATCAACAGCAAAATTCAAGCAGGCAGAAAAAAATTATATAAAAATACTCACTAAACATTAGTCTCTGATGTGTTTAACTCATTCACTGCCAATGACGACTAAAGGCGTCATTTGCATTTTTTTACTGTGTGGGCCTCGGAACGAGCCCCCGCACCGTGAGAACAAACATCCCAGCTCTGAAGCCGAGCTTCATCCGCATACGTCACACGTCAAGGGATCAGGAAGCAGAAAATCCATGTGTTAGGAGATCGTTTTGGGCCGCTGCTGTAAAAAAAAAGTGTGGCACAAACTGGAAAAGCTTCTGCTGATCACAATTCCACAACGGATTATGAAAGAATGGATAACGCTCGAAAGGTGCGGATTCTTCCTGATGTAAGAGGTGAGTCTACTTTTTGTTTCGGTTGTTTTGGTAGTTTTTGTATTGACATTATCCTAGCACGCAACGCTTTGTGACTCTTAAAAAAAACTGTAAAAACGCTGAAAAACGCTTAGCCATGTTGCTCATGGTGGTTCAGACACAAAGTATAAAACGTCTAGGGGGGGGGGACAGACAGCTCTCACCTGTAGTGAGTGTATCCTGACTGAAGCTTTAGGGTTGTAGTGCGTATCAACTATTTTTTAATATTAACCCTATCTGACAAATATTGCCATTTAAGTAACGCAAACTGCCTTTTGTCTGTAGACAGTTTACATGGAGTCCGTGACGCGAACATTTTCTTTCATTCAGTAATGCATAAGAAATTGCGTCTGATCTCGCTGCATGCAGTAACATATTCTTTATTGAGCTGGGCAGCAGAAACAAGCTAACATTGTTAATTCGTTCATGGTGTAATGCACCAGGCGGTCTCATGTGGTTTATTAAAGTAGACCAGCAAACAGCTGAGATGAAGCTGCAGCCCTCAACAACTCTAAATCTGCACCACCTCCACTCACAACCTATTCTTCTCAACAGAAACAATATCACAGCATCATTACAATATTCTGAAATGTCTTCCCGTGTTTCTGGTGTTTTATAATAATAATTGTATGATGATCCTAAACGCTTCTGATTAATTCTGCTGGTTTATTATAGGCCTAGTTTTATGAGCAGGACTGTCTAAAACTTATGGTAGAAAATGGTTTTTCATGGTTTTTTTTTTATTGTTCCAGCAGATTATTGTTGCAATAAAAATATAATTAATATGTAAAGGCAAGGGCATAGATTTGGCATGGACGGAGGTGACATGTTCCCACTAATATTCTGTGATGACCAAATAGTGCCCACCAGTAATTTGACCGCCTACGCTAAAAAACAACCAGCCATTGAGTGTCTCGTTACCCTAGAGGTGCAGAACGGGTTAAATGACATTCTTTCCTCGAGTCCTACTAGGGCTGGGCGATATGGCAAAAATAGAATATCACGATTTTTCCAATATTTTATCACGATTTCGATTTTATCACGATTTTTTATCCATGAATAGCATAACTTCAATTGCGTATTAAAGAAGAGAAACATTGAATAAATAAACATTTATTCATATTAGGGATAATCAACACAGTGCTAACACACTTATATTTTAAACTCACACCAGAGATGATAAAAGCCCTGAGAGAAACAATTACAAAAATCAGTTTTTCTCGTTTTTCAAGTTACTTAACATGAATTAAAATCGTAAACATATTTAAAGTGCAAACATGTCAATTGCAAACGTATTGTGCAAACATTAACTTGTTCAAAATACTATGTAGCTCCCAGTTGCTCATGTAGTGGATAGTTAAGCTCAAATACGGCTCTGATGTGCGGCTGGACCAGAGATCGCTTGTGGTAGCAAAAAACTGCGCATTCTGAATATTTTCTGCAACAAGTCTCTAAATAAAGTAAAAATTTCCAGTGCAGATTGGAGCCAACCCATAGAAGCACTGATTTGATCTCATTTCAGAGATAAATAGAAAAAATAGAACAGGTTAGATGCACCTAATAAATAAAATTACTAACAAACTCAGGAATCTTTCTTTGCTTCACTGTTCTGGTGCTGAAAATATCACTAATGCGGATCAAAGGAGATACACAGATGAATGCACCTCTTATTATTTGGAGACTACATTTACTGCAGCTGGCAGAGTCAGAGATTGTTTCTATTGATACACGGAGTTTACAGAATCATTTTAAATGTTAATAGGGGAAGACTGCAGGAGGGAGCGGTAAATTACAGGGGGTCCCTAACAAAAACAAGAAACTACGAGTCTGATGAAACCCGCTGGTTTTCCATCAGGCAGTCACGGGGCAGCTCCATCGACCCAGTGACCGAGCTCAGTCCGGTACCGACACCGGCTCGGCAGAGGGTGAACGAGCCGAGGCGGCGTCGTGCTCTGCTTAAGAAGCGGGGTTATTTTCCTGCTTCAGAAGAAGCGTCCAACGTGTTTTTACGCTTTCTCGGAGACATGTCACGTCGCTAAGCTGTTAGCGCCGCGCGCTAAGGAAACCCTGCGTTCCTCTTCGGAACGAAAACCTTGTTGTCGCTCTCAGCCGCGGCCGAAGCCACGTTTGTTCACTGCGGGGCACTAATATATTACTATGACTCACTCTGATTGGTTAAGGGTCAAACAAAGGCGTGTCATTCGCCTGGGGTAAGTTCCCTTTTCATTCAGAGGCGTCCTACCTGCGAAATAGGGAGTCTAAGTCACGCCCATCTACTTCCGGACCCTGGGTCCCCGGAAGAATGAAAAATTGAAAGCAAGTCAACGGGACTAACGCTATTTTCTAATTCCACTTGTTATGCACCATGGATTTCACATATGATGTCCGTGAATTTTAAAGACACATTTTGATACCAAGAAAGAGCCTGTTTTCTAATGGGGGGAAATGCTGTTTTGTGTGAAAATAAGTCCAGGACTACAAATAAACATCACCACAGACATCGCTGACACAGACACGGAGAAAAACAGAGGGTAAATGGCTGTAAGTAAACTTCAAAACCTTCCTTCAGGAGGAAAGAACCACCATAAATCGGGCCGTGTGGTAAGTACCAGCTACACTAGGGGAGAGGAGATTCTGTGGTGACGTCATATATGTGACGTACCGACGTCCAATTTGTAATCATACTAACTACAAACTTTTACAAGCTGATAAATCTCAAAGTACGTGACAGGCATGGTCGAAACACCATCATTAGTTTTCATTTAAGTTGAATTACAACATATCTGTGATCTAGGACCTAAGGCAAAGTGGATTAGAAATGAACTCTTTTAGCCCCGTTGACTTACATTAAATTTTTCGTTCTTCCGGCGACCCATGAGCCGACTGTAGAGGGAGGAGACTTAGCCTCCTTATGCATATGGCCAGTGAGATTGGCTGTGCATGCTGTCACGGGAGACTCACGTGAGACATTATGCCGGTTGTTAGCATCGCGCACTAAAGCTCGAAGGAAAACGTTCCAGTCACGGTTACAGTCGTATGCTAAATTTGTGTGTTTGCAATGCGACATGAGTGACGCATGGGGCCAAAAGCAAGTGAGTGTAACCGAGGGTCCTGAGACGATGATGCTACCTGTACAAAAGCTGCACATGAAGAGAGAATGACAGCCATGAACTCGAGAGGCTCTTTTATTAAAGTTAGAATATGGAACATTTTAATAAAAAGCTATATTTTTTTTAAACAATACCTCCACTGGGCTTTTAGACGTGCACAGAATGAATGTACAATGTTTCCTTTAAAAGTCATATTTAAAAAAATAAATATTCCCAATTTTATTCTGTCGGGCACGGCATTCAGTTTATGTTAACATCTAATATCCACTAGAGAGTGCTGTTTTGCTAAAAAGTCTACTCAGCAGGGCAAACTGGGAATGTGTAAAATGGCGGACTTCACAAGTTAACGTATCTTTCTGGAGTTTTTCCCTTTCAGAAGTTAACCAACATCCTGACAGCTGGAAAACTAGTTCTGTTGTTGCGATACCAATTCTGAACACCAGAGTTCGCCAGCGTGTCCATGTTCCATATTCAACCTTTAACACCACATTACAGCAGTCAGGTTCCCCAACAACCAACCCACACGTTTCCGGTCGTCACAATAAAAGCGCTGTACACCGCATCTTGTCTGACTGCATTATTCAAAGTGATTCTCACAAAAGTAGTTTACATGAGGATGTAGGCAAAAAGAAGGTTGAGGACATAAGGAGCTATTTTCCAAGTCACTTAAAGTTAAGTTTGCTAATGAGCACCTTGATGGCTGCTTTTGTGGTCTGTCTGTTATTCATTTTTATTTGTTTTTATTCTTTATTTAACCAGGAAGGTCCCATTGAGATTTAAAACCTCATTTTCAAGGGAGTCCTGGCCAAGACACAGCAAAAGTTACAGTTACAAAAATTTTCTGTTACACAGACATGTTATGCACTAAATTACAGAAGGCAGTTACAACACAGGGAATCCGTCTCAGGGGCTCTCCGTCTGGCTTTAACTGTATTCAAGGAGATAAACTCTCTGTATCAGTTTTTGTTCTGTCTGTGTGTGGAACCTTGGTCGAGCTCTACTGCGGAGACACATTTCTTTGCTCCAGGACGCTGCGGCATTGGCAGTAAAGTTGATTCTAATTCTGATTCTACTGAAATGAGCCCATCATAATAACGTTATTGGCAGTGCTAAGTTTTAGCGCATAGCATACAGCAGAGCTACAGACGATTTACCCGCTGAGTTACCTTTCTCTGAGGAGAGTAATTTAACTGTCATGTGTATCATGTCATGGTTTGTTTTAGATTTGTAGATATTTTTCCTAAGTTTGTGAATTTTTCTGAGTTTTTTGCCTTCATGGTCATATTTGTATTCGCTGTTTCGAGGGGGACATTTGTAATGATGCACGCCATGCTTAGAGGAAGAATTAAGAAGGGTAAGCTCCGTTTTGTTTGCAAGATTTTGAAGATTTGAAGAAGTTTCTTTCAACTTGTAAGATCCTCACAAGAAGATGAATTCCCTGTCAGTTGTATGCAGTCGGTGAGGTATGTTTATAAGCTGCACTTTACTTCCTCTGTATTATTTTACATCATCATCCCTGATATGAGAGGTTATTTCCTTTTATGCTTATGTACACTGTTTAGTTTGATGGTGGAGTTTGATTAAAGTGCTGTGAAGAATTAAACCCATCAGTAACTGAAGAAGTAAGGCTTCGTGTATTTCTGGAGGGAGTGACAAGTAAGAGAACTAACCATCAATATTGGTTCTCTTTCTCTCTGAGTCTAACTTCCATTCAGACTCTGAGAAAAATCTGCAGCCTTGTGCAAAGATAAAATCATCCTAGAGATCTTTTAAAGCCTGACACATGAAAAAATATTCATAAAACATTTCTGACTAAAATAATACAACAATAATTTACTTTTACAACAGTTAAATTAAATACAATTTGTACTTGGCAACTTAAGCTTCCACCAGAGGGCATAAAACGTTTACAGTTCAATAAAGCAGCTTTTTGTGGAAAAAAGCAAATCTTATTAAAATTATTAAAGATCAGAGGTCACTACAAAACCTGCTGTTAGACAAATCTGCATAATGTGAGGACGTTGTCCTACGTGGCTCAAACATGTCCTGTCTGAGACACTCTCATCATTCCCAGTTAGGTCGAAGGTTATCACAACCACTGGGAATGATTAGTGAACCGTAACAAGACCTTCAAAATACTCACATTGCTGGTTGCACAGAACTGTCTCTGACCATCTTTGATCTCTGGGCTGAATTTCTGCAGCAGAGCTTTCTGCACCCGCCAGATGGGTGGGGGTTCTCTGCCGGTTTGCAGAGCCATCTAAAGAGAGAAAATGTTTTTATTTCGGACACCTTAGCCCTGAAAGGTGAAAGAGGGGCTTGCCTTCAGAGTCCCGATGTCCTCTGTCCGAACCACAAACTCATCTCGCTCTCGAAATATTCCTTCACCTCCGCTCTCGCTGTCCTCTTCTTCACTCTCACCCACGATGGCAGCATCTGTCTGCTTCTTGGCAAGATGGAGGGAGGTGAGGCGCTGGGATGCTGGGGCCTCCTCTGGAGTTGGAGGGGACGGTGGTTGTGGGGGTGATGAGGAGGGCGAGGAAGAAGAGGATGAAGAGGAGGAAGGCTGCCCCATGTCAGGTTCCTGGTCTTGATCGGAGGAGGATGGGGGAGGTGTGGTGGATGGAGGGGGTATGGAATGGCTCAGGGGGAGGTTGGAGAGGGGTGATGACAAAGTGGCAGGTGGGGAGGTAGAAGGTGGCGGGGAAGAGCCAGCAGTCTGCTGGTGTGAAGATTGTTGAGGCTCAGAAGCTGGGTAGAGCAGACTCATCTCCGCCTCCGTCGGCTGGACCAGCGGCAAGCAGGGCACAAAGGGACTTTCGGGAGGAAGGGGAGAGGGTGAGGAGTGGGTGTGTGGTGAGGGAGGGACAGAGAGTGATGGGGATGGAGGTGCAAGGGCAGGTTCAGATGGAGAATCTGAAAAAGAGGAGATGAGGTAAGTATCTGTCCCTGGATTGTATTTGAACATAGATGTTTGTCATTTTCCTTCCTGATGGTGTTTTCAGACCTTTAGCAGACAGTTTCCCCTCCATCTACACCACCTTCACCCCTTTAACACCTTCACCCCTTACAACACCTTCACTAGCTTTACCACCTATCGCCTACACCCCCCTATAATGACTTCACCACCTTCACCCCATAATGCCTTCACCCCCATAAAAACTTCACCGCCTATACCACCTACATCGCCTACACCCATTATAACTTCTTCACCACCTACACCACCTTCACCCCTATAACACCTTCACCACCTACACCACCTTCACCACCATAATGCCTTCACCCCCATAAAACCTTCTCCACCTACTCCACCTTCACCCCTTATAACGCCTTCACCCCCTATAACACATTCACCACCTATGCCACCTTCACCCCCTATAACGCCTTCACCCCCTATACTGCCTACATGACCTTCATCCCCTATAACGCCTTCACCCCCTATAACGCCTTCACCACCTACACCACCTTCACCCCCATAATGCCTTCACCCCCTATAACGCCTTCACCACCTACACCACCTTCACCCCTATAACGCCTTCACCCCCTATACTGCCTACATGACCTTCATCCCCTATAACGCCTTCACCCCTAAAACACCTTCACCACCTACACCACCTTCACCCCCTATAACGCCTTCACCAACTACACCACCTTCACCCCTATAACGCCTTCACCAACTACACCACCTTTACCCCCATAACGCCTTCACCCCTATAACACCTTCTCCACCTACACCACCTTCACTCCTATAACACCTTCACCCCCTATACTGCCTACACCACCTTCATCCCCTATAATGCCTTCACCCCTAAAACACCTTCACCCCCTACACCACCTTCACCCCCTATAATGACTTCACCACCTATACTGCCTACACCACCTTCACCCTCTACAACGCCTTCACCACCTTCACCCCCCATAAAGTCTTCACCCCATAACACCTTCATCACCTACACCACCTTCACCACCTATAACGCCTTCACCACCTACACCACCTTTACCCCCTATAACGCCTTCACCCTCATAACACCTTCTCAATCTAGACCACCTTCACCCCATAATGCCTTCAACACCTACACCACCTTCACCCCATAATGCCTTCAGCCCCTAAAACACCTTCACCACCTACACCACCTTCACCCCCATAACGCCTTCACCACCTACACCACCTTCACCCCCTATTACGCCTTTACCACCTATACTGCCTATCAATCAATCAAAATTTATTTATGAAGCACTTTTCATACAAATGCAGCTCAAAGCGTACACCACCTTCACCCCCTATAACGCCTTCACCACCTTCACCCCCATAAAGCCTTCACCCCCATAACACCTTCACCACCTTCACCCCATAACAACTTCACCACCTACACCACCTTCACCCCCTATAACACCTACACCACCTACACCCCCTATAACACTTTCACCAACTACACCACCTTCACCCCATGACAACTTCACCAACTACACCACCTTCACCCCCTATAACACCTTCACCACCTTCACCCGCTATAGATCTCCGGGAGTTGATGTCACTTCTCCCGGCATGCAACAGTTCAAATCGAAATGGCGCCATATTGGCATGCAGAAGCCGGCAGCTGGACTATTTGTTATTGTCAGAAAACTCAAACAGGAAATATGGTAGATTCCTGTTGTGCCCCAGGATGCAGAACAGACACGGACGACATAAGGAATGAGCCATCTACAGGATTCCCCAAGATCCGGAGCGCCGCAAACGTTGGATCATTGTAATAAAACGCACTAGTGACCGGGCTGAAATGAAACTGTGGGACCCCGAGAGTAAAGGTTTTTGCTTATGCAGCGACCACTTCATATCAGGTACTCAACTGTGTATGGTATTTATTTTAAATGCTTTTATTACGATTCTTAGTGGGCTTCCTAAACTTATTTTGGCGTGGCTTTTTCTGTCTTATTACTCATAGCAACAAGTAAACATCATGTAAAACGTTGCCTCGTGATTTCTGCGTGCTGCAGTTTCCGTGTTTTATGATCACAGCAATTAACCGGCTAAGCTGTATTTAATTTTGAAGCAATGGTTGATCAATTGTCAGATCACACATAAAAAGCACTTTGGATTGCTATTATCTGTCTCACCGAGACAGATCTCAGACAGATCCTGAGACGCTCCTGCCCGACATATTTATTTTATTCACGGAAAAAAATCTGATTAGTGATTTCTCTTGGCGTTCAGTTTATACAATCAAACAGCACAGCACTCTATTTAAACTACTTACATGTAAATCTGTTATTTGTCCATCCATCCATTTTCATCCGCTTATCCGGAGTCGGGTTACTGGGGCAGTAGCGTCGAGAGGCCCAGACTTCCCTCTCCCCAGCCACCTGGGCCAGCTCCTCCGGGGGAATCCCAAGGCGTTCCCCGGTCAGGTCCGGTAAGAAGTCCGCTCTGACAGCTTCTGGCGTTTTTAAAAAGTATCCCAGGGGCACGGTAAGGGTCGGAGATGTTTAGTCTATTTAATTTCTGACTATATAAAACGATTTCTTCGGTTTTAAAGTGTGAAGTAAACTCCGACGAAGTAAAATCCAAGCCGATCCCATTCATGTTCATGTTTACGATCCGTGTTTGTTTACCTTTTTTTCCTGCCAATATGGCGTCTACTAACTGAGAGTCACGTGGGGTCCAGAGCTCTATAAAGCCTTCACCCCCATAACACCTTCACCACCTTCACCCCCAATAAAGCCTTCACCCCCTATAACACCTTCACCACCTACACCCTCCAGTAAAGCCTTCACCACCTACACCACCTTCACCCTCTACAACACCTTCACCACCTACACCACCTTCACCCCATAACACCTTCACCACCTACACCACCTTCACCCCCTATAACACCTTAACCACCTACACCACCTTCACCCCCTATTACACCTTCACCCCCTATAACGCCTTCAACATCTACACCACCTTCACACTCTATAATGCATTCGCCACCTACACCACCTTCAACCTATAAAACGCCCTCACCACCTACACCGCCTACACCACCTTCACCCCCTATAATGCCTTCACCCCCAATTCCACCTTAATCACCCACACTGCCTACACCACATACACCTTCATCAGCATCTACTCCACCTCCACCCCCTAACATCTTCACCCCCTATACCACCTACACCACATTCACAATCTAGACCACCTACCCCACTTTCACCCCCTATATTGTCATCACCACCTACACCCCCTACACCACCTACACTGCCTTAACACCAACACCACCTTCACCCCATACTGCCTTAACCACCCACACAGCCTTTACCACCTACTGCATCTACACCAACTACAACGCCTAAACCACCTTCACTTCCTACACCAACTACACCAGGGGTCGGCAACCCGCGGCTCCGGGGCAGCATGCGGCTCTTTCATCCATCTGATGCGGCTTTCTGTGTTTGTAAAATAATGAATGAATATTTAAGTAAATTTTATTTTATTTTATCTGTATGTCAATTCTAAATGTAAAGATTGTCATCTTTTAAAATCTAAAGAAAAATGATAAAGACCTGAAGTGGCAGGTCACCTGCTTGTGCGTAATCAGACGTCTCTATAGGAGCTTTCTGAGCTGAAGAGGACATGAGATTCTGGACTTTTTCCTCAGACAGGCTCATGGATGCGTCGCCACATTGGAGACAGGAACAAGTTTCATCATCAGGAACATTTTCTGACACGTCTCTCTGAGAGACCGGGTTTGGAAAGCACTCGCTTCAGTGAGAGGAACATCCCGCGTGGCTCTGGTTCTGCTGCTGCCTGGGACCGACGCGCTCCAAGCCCCTCTCCACATCTTCAGCTCGCTGACCACCTCACGTGCGCGCCGACAGCGAGCTGCGCTGAGCTCAGTGTCCAGTATAATGCTCAGACGGGAATCTTTTCTGGACTCATTCAGCGACCTCTGCGATGTGTAACTATTAAAATGTCAGCGCATCTGCAGCCTGGAGGTTTCTCCGTCAAAATAAACGGTGAAATACGGGAAATATCCGGTCAGCACGAACCCTGTCAGTTACTGTTCAGCCTTCTTGTGAAAATTGTTGCAAAGAGAAACATAAACGTGATGAACACCAGATCCATGCACACTGCGCCGTTATCTCCGTTTCTGTAAATGAGGAAAACAAAAAAAACGAATAGATCTGATCCTTTCTTACCTTTTCAACATAGTTTAATGTAAAGTTTCGTTCAGTACAAAGTTTAATTACAACAGTCCAACGAGACAGAGCCTGGATTTGTATTCTGAACAGTTTAAACGTGTTTTAAAACGAGACGTGTGTCATAAAGCGTCACCTGCTCAGGCCAGGTAGGTCCGCCCACAACGCCGCGGCTGCTCTAGCTCCCAGTTTTTCTTTACTGTGGGAATCGGATAATAATGGCTCTTTGATGGGAAAAGGTTGCCGACCCCTGACCTACACCAACTACACCACCTACTGTCCAAGACTCCCAGCAAGATCTCCTCTACCACCGACACCACACTCCAACCCAACAGGTTCACCAGTCTCCCCAGTTCACTCTGGTCTAATGTCATCACCACGTTGCAACACCCCTGTCATGGATGTAAACACGAGGTTCCTCTCAGCAGAACATCAGTGACAGTTCAACAACTATAGGATGACATTACATTTTGACCAGAGAACGAACGCAGAACTGCCGAGTCACTTCAGGGAATGCTTTTAACATATTTCAACAAATCTCAAATGTGTTTTTATCCAACAGCGGTTTCATGTGGTCTGATTTATGTGATGTATTAAAAATACAACTGTTACCTTCAGCTTTAGGAAGCTCCTGAACCTGCATCTCAGAGACTCTGTTCTCCTCCATCAGCTCCTTCTGCACAGTCTGAGACACTTGCATGATGTCTTTATTCTTCCCAGGCTCCTCTCCTCCCTCCATTTCCACCTCCATCTCATCTTTGTCTGATTCTCCATCCTCAGTGGGCTCGATGAGACTCTGCTCCTTGACCTCCTCCATTTGCCGCTGCGTGTAGGTGCGAGCCTCCTCTTTGGTGTTCTCCATAGTGAGGATGAGGTGAGGTGTGGCAGGAAGCGGCGGGCTGAGGGAAGGCTCCGGTGGTGTGGAGGTGGACAGTGTGGGCTGGACCTTCATCATAGCAGAGGCCATGGCAGCAGCCAGGGAGTGCGGGGTGTCGTAGAGGGCAGAGATGGCAGATGAGATGCTCTTCTGCAGGTCCTGGTTCTTACTGACAGAGTCCTCCTCATCAGAGGAAAAGGATGGCAGCGTTTCCAGGTTCCTTTTCAGCTCCTCATCCAGGGGCTTGCAGGGACTCGGGCAGTTGCTGAGGGCCAGGTCAGCCCCTTCACCCTGCCCTCCGTCACTGAAGGTTTCTGGAGGCTGCTGAGAGGGCGAAGGTGGCGGTGGGGACAAAGGCTGGATCCCCTCTTTCAGAGAGGAGCAGGTGTCCAGGAGTTCCTGCTCAACTCCATCATTCCTCAGGTCCAGCTCAGACCCTTTTTTACTGGCCTTCAGGAAATCCAAAAAGGAGGCTGCAAAGGCAGGTTTAAAGTCAAAGGCCCGGTCGTCAGCCTGCAACAAAACAACCCAGAACCAGATCAGTTCTCTGTGTTTACTTAGAGACAAACATCCTCATCATCAGCTCTGGTGCTGGCCCACCTTAAAGCAACATAGTGGGGGGGTGGGGGGGTGTTCATATTGCCCATTTTGTGTCGGTAAGTCAAGGTTTGCTCTCCTGTCATTTGATTTGTTCAGAGAAATCTATATGGTCCAACCAGATGTGGGGTGTTCATCACAGGCCTGAAGCTCTGGGGGGATCCAGACTGAGGGACGTCCTGCTGTTCTAGCGGCATAATGAAGCCCCTCTGGTAACAACCTCAGCTACTGACCAGGGCCTAATGTGACAGCAAACACCTGAATAAAGCATCAAATGTGCTTTTAATGTGTCTATAACTCGTGTGATGAAAACAGTTGTATAACTAATAGATGTTCCATAAATGAAACTCTTATTAAGGCTCTGGTGGTCTGTGGTACTGTAGATCGTGAATCTGTCAGCCTGCCCTTCAAAGTGAGTGGGCGGGGCTAATAGCACTCTGGTCTGAATGGAGGCTTTATTTCAGATTCACGTTTACTTCTGGCCTGGACTGTGATGCTGACTCATCGGGATGGAAACAATGAGCTCATCCTTACAAAAGATCTCATCAACATGAACATTATTTTGTTTTTAGTTATTATTTGGATTCTCAAAAATTTATTCAGATGCTTCATTTAAGTATGAGCAATGAGTCAGGACAGACAGCAGGTGGCAGCACTGGCGCTGAGCTGGAAACATTCAGTAACCATGGCAACAGCTGCCGTGGAAACAGGCATCTCTCCTTTTCTCTTTTGTCAGTCAGGACGAGCTGGCTGTCAGTCAGCTATAACCACCTTCTCTCCAAATATCAAAGCAGAAATACACGACAGACGTCTATTAGAAGCTGTTCCATATTTTTGTTCTGCTGGACCAAAACAGTGACAGTTCATCACGTCCGGACCCAGAAGCAGTCGGAACACCGCAGATTTCCGACCCAGATGCTGGCAGCGTGCCTACAGGCACCTGGATCAGCTGGAGAACGTCCGTGCTCCACCTCATTCTGTGGCTTGAATAGACGAGAAATGAATAATATATGAAGCTCGGGTCTCGAGCAACTTACGGGATTCGAGAGCTTCTGCACAGAAGCCCAGGATCCTGGATCCAGAGGATCGTCAGGTTCTTTTGTCCATTGTTCCATCAGCATCTGTGTAAAGATCAGAGAGAGCTTCTTCAACATGGTCACAGGACGTTCACCTGTTCTCTAACACACACAGAGCACATGTATCTAGACTCCATGTTGGCCCTGAACTCAAACAGCGTGGGGGTGGGGGTGCAGACCCAGGTTTTCCACTGAGACACGCAGGAGGAGGCTGAAACCAGCTGGTTCATCGTTTCTTTTATCAGAGGTCCGACTTTCTTATAAAACTGGCCAGGCAGCACACGCAGCTCTAATGAACACACTTCAGCTAGATTTTTCCTTCGTGTGGCCCCCGTCAGTTTTTTGAAGGTGGAGCGCTGCGCCCGTCAGAATGAGTCATGTCTGCTAGAATACAGAAGGTTCTGGTTCACCTGCATCCTGACCAGGCTCCCCAGAAAGCTCCTCCACTCGTCCTTTCATTTCCTGTTACTGCCGTAAAGAGGCTCTTTCCTCTCAAACACACAACACAAAGATGGAGTCGGGTCCTGTTGTCTCCTCCCAGCTGCAACTCCATCACTAAAACCTTGTCCTCGTTCAGATTTAATACTTAGTGGACTTTTAGTCCGTGTTTGGTTACGTTTGTCACCCAGGACGACGACGCCTGGAGAAAAGCTGAAGTAGGAAAAGGAACAAAATAATCAAGTAAATTTCCTGGTTTTATCCACAAACCTGAAATATCTCTAAATTCAGTCTCCGTTACTCTTTGTGACTAATTCATTAGAAAATGCTCCATGAGGGTCTTCTGCGGTTTTTTTATGTGTTAAACTGAAAAGCCCCCCTCCTTCTGGCTGCTGGGTTCCTAATATAAATAACGTTAACTACATTTCAGACTTCCTAAAGCTAAAACAAGCAGATTGGGATGAAGTAATGAAGGAGCGATGCCTCCGAGTGTGAACGCACAGATCAGGGCTGTCTAGACGTTTCTACACGATGCTCTTTACCTCATCAGCTCTCTGCTGGTGCTTCACCATCTTGTCCTGAGTCTGGTCCAGATCGGTTCTGCTCACGTCCATGGTGGTGCCCGATCCAGGACTCAGGCCCAGAGATGGTGCTGATCCCACCGATCCATCGGAGAGGACCGGATCACTGCTGGACAGCGAGTCAGTCCTCAGCAGAGACTCTGTCGGAGTCCTGCTGGAAGTGGGAAGTTCGATCTAGAAAACAGACCATTTGGATCAAGATGACCTCAAATGATTAGAAACACACAGACAGAACTGTTCCTGCAGGAGGTAAGCCTCTGTCAGGAGCACCAGGAGCAGGATCCTCTCTAAATGACACTGGCCTGAGTTCACTACGGCACACAGAGGTTTGAACCACAGCGGTAAACGTGTTCCTTCTCCAACGCTCTACCACTCAGCTTTACATACCGTAAATCCTCTAATACAGGCCTGTATTCAATTAATGGCCGGGTATCATATTTTGGCCGGTGTCGGAGTCAGTGGAGGTGAATAATGGCCGGTATTTTATTGTGGCCGGGTGGAATGTGGTAACAAGCAAGTACGGGGCGCGGTTGTGTCATCCGCCTCACTTTTGATTTGCCAGTGATAGACCGCGAGGGTAACTTTAACCGTGTGGAGACGAAGAGGAGGCGAAAATTTGATATCAAGTTCAAAGAGAACGTGCTGATTATGCTGCAGAACACTCTGGGGAGCAGTAGTAGGGGTTGTATGAACTAGTCGAGTTCACTATAGTTACTCTTTATGCCCGTCATCGACTAGTCGCTGTCACATGATAATGACCGGCAAGATGCAGTCCTCGGAAAAGACAGCAGCCTGCTGTCAGCAGGTGACAAGCTCCTGCGCTCGGGGGGGCAACACGCTGTGCCAGAGCGTCGGTACTGACCGTCCCCTCACCCCCATCCTAACCTTAACCAGCTTGCACATGCAACGCTCTGATTGTTGACGCGCTCCAGACATCTGCGTCCTGAGCACGGCCACAGTAGCATTATCAAATCAGGTGTCGCCACCTCAAAAACTAATTTAACACGCGATCGTTCATGTCGGCTCATTTCCTTTAATGTTTTCTGTCTTTTATTCTTTTATTTGCGCCTGATGCGTTTCGCTGCTGTGGAGCGGGGCGCATCACCTTGTCTTCAGGTGACGCACCTCACTGATGTTTACGTTCTAGAACCTAACCCAACGCAGCTAGGGAGTCGTTTCCGCGTGGTAAAAGTTCATCGTCTGAAGGTTTGAGTGAGATATCTGTGATAATCTAAGTTCTGCTGTAATCAGGAGGGATTGATGGTTGTTCTTTCTTACCTTAACGGGTCTGACTGCATCCTGCAGGGCCTGCTGGGAGGGTTGCTGCTGTGGATGTTGATAATGCTGCTGATGGTGCAGCTGGTGATGGGAGGAGGAAACCTGCTGGTGCTGATGGAGGTGGAGGTGGTGCTGTGGCTGCTGGTGTGGAGCTTGATGGAGATCTGGCTGTTGACTGTAATGTTGTGGTGGGTGTTGCTGCAGGTGCTGCTGTTGGTTGTATGGTTGCTGCTGATATGAATAGCTCAGAGTTTTTAAATCCCGATGCGTCTCCACCAGCCCGTCTTCCCTTCTGCCACGTCCTCTTCCCCGCCCACGCCCTCTCCTTGACTCCCCAGCCGCTGATCCCATCAACCCCCTGCAGTACGGAGGTTCGGGGAGAGGACGTATACGTGGTCTACCTCGCGGGCGAGGAGGACCTTCACGTTTTGGTTTAGTTGGTTTCCTCCCTCTTTTCTTAGGGCCATTGTGGGTGAGGATTTGTGACGGGTGTCCAAGGGGACTGTAGCTAGACGGATGGCAGAAATCCATGTCGACCATTATTGGACTGACCCGACTTACTCCAGAGGTGCCAGCAGCCCTCCTACAACTAGAAACCAGGTCAGGTAAAAGGGCTGGATGCCGTCGACTGTTGAGGCGTATATCTGCTGGAGCATCCGCTTTGTCCTCATCATCCTCAAACTCATACTCCTGCGCATAGTTTTTCTTTGTTGGAGGTTGTGGCTCGCGCCGCTGTTTAAGCAGGTGAAATGAGCTGGTCTTTAAAAGCTTTTTGGGTCGAGAGGAACAGAAGATGGGTGAGGTCAGACCACTGGTGTTGGAGCTTCCACCAACAGATCCCACCATCTTGTTGACCGAACCATCTCCTGGAACTGCTGAACCCAGCCCCAGGGTCAGAGTTTGGGACTGGATGAGACCAAGCTGGTCGGTATTCACAGTGGAGGGCAGCTCGTGCGTCTTCAGGGGGTCGTGGTCCAAGTGCAGATTACCATCTCCTGCGCCTGGGAGGCTGTGGCAGTACTGCCCGTAGCCTTGATCACCGGTGTGACCCATTATATTATAACCCCCTCCAGCACCTCCTGCTTTTAACGTTTCTATTGCCTCCTGTGCCGGCACGTGGCTGCGACTGAGGTCCTCTTGAGCAGCAGAATCCGCACCACAACCCGATTTGTAATCAGAAGAAGAAAACATATCCTCCATCTCTGGAAAGAAAGAACGGTCTTCATCTTGCAAGAGGGAGTCAGGGAAGCAGACTGACGTTAGAGAAGGAAAGCGTTGCTGTGGCTGAACTTGATTCTGTCCTGCTTTGTCCACTGGGCTCATTGTGCTGTAATGGTGCTGTTTAAGCTGGTCCAGCTGGGGGTGTGTGAGCTCGCTCTCTCTTGTTTGGCTTTGCTGGGATTGTTGGGGAGTCCCTAAATTGGCCGCCATGTGGCGGGAGTGTGGATGAGTCAACTGTTGCCTGTGGTGAGTGTGTGTCTGCTGATCGTGCAGGGCGTGGGAGTGTGCATGGGCTGGAGGCTGGTTGAGGTGGTGAAGGTGTGAAGATGGGGATACACCCAAGTCTGGGTCTGCAAGAAAAGCATGAACATCAGAGCCGTTCTGTTGGGGATGATGGTGGGGCGTGAGTCTGTGCTGCTGTCTGTGCCTGTCTGCTCCCTCTCCTAGTGGAACCGCCCCTCCAACCCCAGCTCGGTCCAGTGGACCCCTACTCTCTAAGCTGTTGGCTTGTGAGAGAGACGGATCGAGGATATCCAGAGGAGACATTGAGTTCTGACTGGCTTGAGTTTGATCGGCATGGCTGTAGTGGGCATCCGCATTCTGGTTTTGGAGCTGGGATTCCACGCCACCAGACCCAACTCCCATCATGCCCGGCTGACTCAAAGAGTGCTGTTGTTTTAGTGCTTGCTGATGGTCCATCTTTGTGTGCGTGTTTTGAGAAAGTACAGACATGTGGGTTGACTGAGGAAGGTCTGGTGATGAATCCATCAGGGAGAGGGGGGCCTGGCTGCTCTGAGACTGCTGCACATCTGGAGTGTCACACAAGTAGCGACTGTCGCCTGGATTTGCCGGTTTCTTTAGCTCCATGTGAGAGTAGGAAGGTGGATGAGACAGCTGAGGGTGCTGTGGGTGGTGAGGGTGTTGCTGAGAATGTGAGAGGGCGTGAGAGGTGTGTGGTTGGTGCTGAGAGAGGGCTTGTTGTGCATAGGGCCCCCCCCTCCCAAAATGCACTGCAGAGCCCAAAGACTCATGCTGCTGTTGAAGAGAGACGGTGCTTTGAGTGTGAGAAAGCGATTCAGCAGCCCTTCGTGCTCCAGCAGGAGACTTTGACATGGCCATCTCGGACTTGGCCTGCTGTTTGTTCTGAACTCTTTCTAGCTGTCTGCTTGAACCGCTTGTTGTGTCGGCGCCTGCTGCAGCAGGAGCAGAGCTGCTGGTAGTGGTTCTGGTACGAATGACACTCTGAGGGTGGTAGTGCTCATCGGAGAGCTTGCTCATATTATAGGTCATGCCTTTGCCTTCCCCCTCCCTGTCTCGGGAGACAGACCGGGTCAGTTGTTGTGCAGGATGCTGAGAATGATGAGAGGCTGAGGTCTCTGAGTGTAGTAGATGCTGGATTAGGAAATCATCGGCATCTTCGTCATCGTGTCGAGAGCGCTCTGCTGTCAACAAGCTTGTTTCTGCTTTTGGTCTGGTTAGTGTTGCATGGTAGGACTGGCTCTGAGACCGTCTCAAATCAGGCAGAGCTTGTGGTGAGGGCATAAAAGCAGGAGAAAGCATTGACGATAAGTATTTTGTGGCCCCGGAGGCTCCTGGGGACTGTGCCAGGTGAGTGTTAACTGGAGACTGCAGTGCAGGGTGAGTGAGGGAAGAGCTGTCAGATGGTGATGTGCTGGACTCAGGCAGGTGGTAAGAGCTGGTGTTGTCATTACCAACCCCAGCAGCCTCACTCCCTGATGCTGCAGATCCAGCTACACCCCCATGACTAGTCACTCCTAGGGGTCCACTCCGTGTAGACTCGCTCCTAAACCCCATGGAAGGACTGCTTGCTCCTCTGAGAGAGCCTGGGCTGAAACTTGACTCCTCAAAAACGGTCTCTGCAGAGAAAGCGCGTCCTCCTGAGCCCACACCAGTGAAAGCTTTCCCCCCACTAAGCACTACTTCAGAGCTCAGGTCTTGAGCATTAGGTGAACCAAACCCCCCCAAGGGTTGTGCCATGTGAGCTAATGGAGGGTGACCAGCAGAATAAAACTGACTCTGGAGCTGGGGTGGGGGTTGGTCTGATAGGTCTGTGCTAGATTTGGCCAAAGACTGGGAGCCATAGTTGGACAGACATTGTTTGGCAACAGGCTGCTGAACAAAGCTAGAGGACACCGCTGGCAGAGGAGTTGGTGCTGGGGCTGGCTGAAGCTGAGGCTGCTGATGGGAGAGCGCCAGCAAGGAGCTGCTGCTTGTTTTGGACACTGAGGAGTTGGAAGAGGAGGCAGACGAGGCTGATGGGGGAGTTTGCGGGTTACGAGAAGAGGAAGATGCTGAGCTAGAAGAGGAGTAGCCACTGGTGGAGTTGTTGGAACCCTTTAGTTCTTTTGTGGCAGATGAAGACGATGCAGAGGATGATGAGGGTGTGTAGGGAGTCTGAACGATGGGCTGGTACGTTTGTAGTGATGGCTTGGGATCAGAGGGAGGGCTTTGTTCTCCCAAGGGACTCTGAGACAGTCCCGCTTGTCGATGGTGGCTTACGATCTGCTGGAAGCCAGATGACTCACCACAGCTGGCATATTGCTGTAGCGTTGTGGACTGGGCCGGGGGTGATCGCTGGTAATGTTTGATCACGCTGTCCTGTCGGGAAGCTGCTCTCTCTGGAGGAGGCAGTGCTAGAGGAGTAGCGGCAGATACCATGGATGGGGCAGAAGGGAACATTGAGTTGTTGTATAGCTGGGACGACCGGTTATGGAGCTGGGAGGACAACACATTGAACTGGGGATGGGGCAGGTGGCAACTTGAGGAGGTGGAAGAAGCTTGAGTCTGAGAAGGGGCTGGTGGCTCCTGGGAGCCTCTGTATGTAGAACTGTGAGAAGACAGCAAGCGGTCAAAGCCTAAGCTGGACTGAGAGGGAGCTTTAATGTGCAGGAGAGAGTCATGGGGGGAAAGCAAACCATTGGAGGTTGGACTAAATGTAGAGGATTCCTGTATGGACAAAGAGGGAGCGAACGATCGTCCGTTAAAGGAGCCAGGATGTTGGTATGCAGAAATGGGAGAGGAGGAGGGGAACGATCCAGACCCTGGAATCGCCCCTGAAATAAAGAGCTCCGCTGGGGCTGGTGTGTGCATGGCTACGAGACAAACATCACACAGACAGCAGCACGTTTCAAAACAGACCATTTAACACCATCACGTCTTAAATAGTTTGACTTAGGAAGACAAGATTTCCATAACAAACACTCACCAGTCTGCCAAGAAGGAGTCCGAAACTGGGAAAGGAGGGAGGATGCTGAGGCCGTGGGCTGGGGGCCCCGAGACTCTAGAGCTGAAATCAGATTCATGACCGAGGGGTCTGGACCAGTGGGACCAGCATGGTGGAGGCTGGTGTCAAATAGCCCTGACAGTCCTAGCAACAACACAATCACAGCCTTTTCATGTCTCATATTTTAGTTCAGGTTTAGGTAAATGTTAGGAGTCAGACCACTGGTGTGCTGCAGACAAGTCTGACAAAGAGACAATGTCCAATAAAGAGAAGTCCTTGTTTCCCTCTGTTTTCTGATGACCAGGGTAAGTAATAGCAGTTATTAGAGTGGAAGAGGGAGAAGCCTACCAGTGGGAAACACCACTAACCCTAACCACATCAGAGACGTCGAAACTACAGGTGAACCTCAAAAAACAAAAGTTGAGTTATTCCAGTGAGGGTAAACGTCCTGCATTTTATTTTATGAACAGAGTTTAGGTTCTCTCTTTAAAGTCACATCACCTGAACGCCGCCCAACTCGCTCATAAAGACATGAATGTGTGTACGAGTTTTATTGCCGCAGAACTTTAATATTATTGGCTGGATTTGGAACGCGTGAGGAGGAGGTGTAGTGTGATGACCTCCAGATTTACTGATGCTTTCAGTTACGTATGTACAGTTAGCGGTAGGGTAGTGTCAGGGGCAGCAGGAGCTCAGGGGGTAGAGCAGGTTGTCCAGTTATCAGAGGGTTAGTGGATGGAGTCCGGCAAAGAATGCTGCTGTTGTATCCTTGAGCAAGACACTTAACCCATTTATCGTTTACTTTTGATTTTTTTCAACATCATTTTGCACAGTACTTCTCTTTTACAGTTGTTGGACCATTGACATGCACTTCATGATCTGAGTGTTGGAGGCTGTCTGATGTCAGTCAGAATCTAAATGCTGCAAAAATAAAACAATAACAGCTTTTAACACGTGACACACATCCACTCATAAACTCCACAGGGAATAACCTCGGGAGTATCCCCTAAATTATTTGTGTATTCATCTAGAATCCAATAACCTTAGATTTTCCCACAAGCCTTTTTCCACCATAGCTACTGATCTACTGTATATTAGGTGTACTGTACATCTAATAATAAAGTCATGAACATTTGAAAGGCTACTGTTCAGAACCCCAGAGAGCAGAGACCCCACTGCGGGTTGTAAGATGGAAAATTAAACAAAAATAATAAATTCAAATAAGATATTTTCACAGTAAAAGCTTAAACTGCTTATAAAAGTCAGATACAGACATTGGCAGCTTTAGATGAGGTGAAGCTGTTTGTGTTATCCTCATTTTCTGTTTGTTTAGCTTTAACAATGCTGGTAAAGTCCAACCAGCCCCATTGAAGGGACACTTGGCAGCTTTTTCACATTTTTAAACCATTTTCTTGAGCCAGCATGGTCTAAAATTACCCTCTACAAGGTTAAAGGTTGAATATGGAACACCGACACTGACAAACACTCTGGCGGACTCTGGTGTTCACAGACGGTATTGCAACAACAGGACTAATTTTTCAGTCACTGGGACGTTGATTCACTGCTTACACGTTCCAGCACCATGTTGAGAGACAAATCGTACAGGATGAAGATGCATTTCTACAGATATGTTTATTTTACAACAGTATTTATCGTTAGAACCTCTTCTGGGCCCAGAATCAGCTGCTTGACTTGTCAAGTCAGCCATTTTACACAGTCCCAGCCTTGCTTTGCTGAGCGGACTTTTTAGCGCAACAGTGCCCTCTAGTGGCTGGTAGATGTAAATATAAACAGTGTTGTGCCCGACAGAATAAAAAACTCGATTATTTATCTTTTTAAATAGCTTTTAAAGGAGAAACTGTACATTCATTCTGCGCACCTCTGAACACCCCACGGAGGTATTATTTTAAAAACATACAGCTTTTTATTAGTGATGGGTCCAGCAACACTGACACACCGGCGCATGTATCTGGCTTAGAGTGACACCCGTGTCGGCGTGCGTTTTGTAGTCACGTGACCGATACAGCTGATGTTTCGCTCATCAGTGAAGCATTAAACTGTGTTTAAATGCAGGAGCGTCCCCCTCTTGTCAACAGGATGAGTTTCTGCCACAAGTACAACTTCTGAAGCAAAATAATCCACTGTTATATCAAAGAGCCAGAAAGAAAATTCAAGGTGGTTCACGAGGGATCATCTTGTTCTTAAATCGGCAAATAAGTTGTTTTGATTTCCTTGTTTCATCCTGTTCCTCTCAGTTTCTGCTTGATCCATCAGAATTTAATTTCTAAATGATTCTTTTTAAAATTTTCATACTATTTTATGCAGGTTAAACGTCACATTTGTTAAACTGAACCTACATACATTAATAATAGAATGGCGTCAATGCTGAGACATCACAGAGAAACCTGTGGAAATTTGGCCGTCCCGCCGGCCGTCAGAACATAGGGTGGTGGTGGGGGGTGCGGACCGGACCGGACCGGACCGGCCCAAATTAGACAAACAGTCCACCGGGACTTGTAGAGTCTCGCTATTAGGTTTGCTTGCAGAGATCTTTATAATCCAGCAGGTGTCAGTAGACCAACATGGTGGCACAGTGGACACTTATCGATACAGTTTGGGTACCTGAATGCTTCACGAGGCCTCATCTACCCATCACTACTTTTTATTAAAATGTTCCAGATTCTAACTTTAATGAAAGGCCACTCAGCCTCTATCGCCCCCTGTGGCCAGAATACTGCACTTGCAACATCACAGTTACGATTCTGTTGGGACTGGCATCAGCATGTATTTACATCATGAACCCAGCCGATTTTTTTATTTGGTGATGAATCAATCTTACAGACACTTAGGAATGCTGGGAGATGTTTCAGCTGTTAGATTAAGGTGTTAAAAAGACGAACGCACGGCGAGGTTTTGTTTTCGCTTCTACAAACAAACACTAGGGGGTGCTAAAAGCAAGCTAAACTGCCTAGTATCCCTTTAAAAGTCTTAAAGACAAACCTTGTCATTTTGGGGGGCCTGGATGTGAAAGGTGCAGAAATCAAATGCCTTCTATACCAGAGAAAAGAGAGCCAACATAAATGGTAAGGATGCTGCCTGTGGCTGATTAGGGTTGCCCTGGCAACCACCAGTAAGTACTTGATGGCCACTGGAGGTGAAATCAAACCAAAACAAACCAATACTAATAAGAAGCATAATTTTTGATTTTAACAAATAAACCAAACCAAATCTTACCAAGCGTACGTCCAGCAGGCCCCCAGGCTCCACCCTGTCTGGAGCTCCCTGGGGGGTGGTTGGTTGCATAGCCCTGGAGGGGGTGAGGGGTGCTGTAGGCTTGCCGGTGAAGAAGTTCTGAGTCTGGGTGGGTGGACCTGGAGCTCCCATACATGAAGCTGAAGAACAGTATGTGTGTTAAAAGAGCAGATACCCGACTCGCAGTAGCAAGGGCGTCAGTTTGTTTTCAGAATTGTTGGGGACAATAACCATACACTTGAGTGGGGCTTAAAAATTGCTGGGGACAATAAAGTAGGCTAGCACAGGGGGCGGCAACCCGCGGCTCTGGAGCCGCATGCGGCTCTTCCATCCATCTGATGCGGCTCTCTGTGCTTGTAAAATAATGAATGGATATTTAAATAAAATGCTTTATATTTTACTGCATTAATTTTACATCTGTATGCCAATTCTAAATGTAAAGATTGTCTGCGTAAACCTGAACAGGTCCAACCCGGTCTGTGAGACCGGGTTGACGCGTCACGCTTGTGCGTAATCATGCGCTTCTGAGCTGCTTTCCGACCTTCCCCACCTACAAAGTTTAATTACAACAATCAAACGTGACAGAGCCTGGATTTGTATTCTGAACAGTCTAAACATGTTTTAAAAAGAATCGTATGACAAAAGAGGCACCTGCTCAGTAAAATATTATTGAAGGCAGAGACGGGCTACAGCTTCTGGATCCACTTTATTTAATCGTTTTATTGATTATCTTTTTATGAAAGATAACTTTGACGTACACGAGCGACCAGGCGCGTTGCAAGCTTTTCAAAAGTGTGGGGGATGTTGTCTGTGCTTAAAATAATTTCATGTTATTCATCCTGTTAGTTTAATTTCCATAATAGCGGAGCAGGTGCGAATTTTAGACGCGTCACGCACGTCTCCGTTTTAAACAAGTTTAAACTGTTCAGAATACAAATCCAGGCTCTGTCTCGTTAGATTGGTGTAACTAAAGTTTGTACTGAATGAAACTTTACATTAAACCATGTTTAAAAGAAAAGGATCCGATTAAATCGTCTCCCCCTCATTTACAGTCACGGAGTACAGCGCAGTGCGCGTGGCTCTGGGGTTAATCAAGTTTAATTGTTTCTCTTTGCAACAATCTTCACAAGAAGGCAAAACAGTTAAATGGCAGGTTACAGATATTTCCATTTGACTGTTTATTTTGACGGATAAACTCAAGGATGTTGGTTGATTTCCTCCCACTGAAGCGGTCTGGAAACCCGGTCTCTCTGAGGGATGTGTCACTTGGAAAAATGTTATTTTTATGAAATTATGAAAGTTTGGCTGAATAGCGCTTGTTCCCATCTCCAATATGGAGACGCATGATGCATCCAGTCGCCTCTTCAGCTCAGAGAGCACCTGTAGAGACATTTGATCACGCACAAAGTTTATGTGGAGCAGAAGCAGTCGGGCTACGGCAGGTGAAATGTTCCTAGCCTACATGAAGTGAAACTGTTTAATTGTAACATTAATACGTTACTGGACACGCTGGTCTGGTTGGTTAGACCAGTGTTTGAAGTGGAAAACACACACACACACACACACACACACACACCAATTAAAATAATGCTGATAGCGTGGACTAGAAGACAGGTGATGGTTTATGTATTTAAATGATGATCAGACTGATGTAAAATGTAATCTCCATCCACATCCAGACACAATTATCCTCTATTCTGTCTCTAGTTGCTCTGCTCTTGTCTGGGATGACAGCTGACGGTGCGCCTAGTGGCTGTGATGCACATTTTACGCATTTGGAGAGGTGGACTGGATGCTTTGCTTTTACTGGAAGATGGTCCACTTAACGCACGGGTGTGGACTACATATTAATGACAAATGAATGAAAATTAAATTGGGAGTTTTTACTTCATATTTTATAAACAAAAATGACGGGGGAACACATTTATGACGTCTTTTTAAACAACATTTTCTAGCGCGACCTGCCTGCTTCACTTAAGTCACTGCTTATTAAGGTCCATCCAAAATTACCGTGGCCCACCCAAAAATGAAAACCTGGCGCCGCACCTGTTATAATCCTCTGCAAATTATTGTTCTTCACGTTATCAAACTCAGACTTTGTACAGCTAATTTCAAGATGTAAAATTATGAATTCAGTCAACCTCTTCAGTCCTTCCATCTCCTGCTCTCCTTGAACCCGACATCGGCTGTCAGAATAGGGGAGGTGAAGAAGGAGATGAGGCAAACAGAGTGAGTGCGACCTAAAGAAACCAGACTGGTGTGGAGGTGAGCAAAACAGCTGGAAAAGTGTGGGTGTTGCATCCCCCACGGGTGCGACGCCCATGCGAGCGACCGGTACTGGCTGCTGTCACCTGTTGTGAGCAGCTCTCTGCTGTCTGAGGGTAGGCCCCGCCCACAACGCTGCGCTGCTGTGGCTCCCAGTGTTTTCTTTACTGTGGGAAACGGGTAATAATGGCTCTTTGATGGGAACAGGTTGCCGACCCCTGGTATAAGATCTGAGCTGGTAAAACAAAAATCCTCATCAGCAGGCTTTTTTGAAAGTGGGGGGGGGGGGGGACACAGCTGCCAATTACAAATTTTGCCGGGGACATGTCCCCGGCGTCCCCGGTTAAAATGACGCCTATGCGCAGTAGGGTCAGACACCAGAGACACCTTACAGACAAGCATCCTTAGTAACAAGAACAGGGTATAATTTTTGTTGTCTTCAATTCAATTCAAAGATACTTTATTAATCCCAGAGGGAAATTAGAGTTTCAGTACACACAATTCTAAAATCAGACATACATACATACATAGGCACATGACAAGAATTGACCACTGTGGTCATTCACAACCCGAGTTGCGCTACCTTAATAGAGATCAGAGGGTTTACATGAGGACTGAGTCAGGTGGAAGGAAAAAAAGGCACTTCAGAGATACCCTCCACAGGAAGGGCAGCTTTGCTATGCAAGAAACACATCAGACAGAAATGCAACAGACTTCAGACATTACACAGCATATGTGTCCACTAGGTGGGGAGGTAGGGTTGGGACTCTCCTCACATCAGTGCGATAAGCAGCGCTAGTCACCTCCGTTTGGACAGGGGAGGGAGATAATGGGTTTAGAGAGCACAGTGACTCCTAGATACGGTTCCACGGCCTTCACCGGTCACAGTCCCACCCAGGCTGGGATAGGGAGACAGAGTTACCATGGCGATGGCAACATTCCACATTTCTTCTGAGGGGGAGTAATCACTTCAGCCTCACAGGCTCAAGGGCACCAGATTCAGATAAGAACTTGTTTTGGGGACAGAGATAATTTCCTCTCTGTCTTAAAGTTCTGTTGGTCTCCAACCCCTCTGAATCCAATAATGGCGTAGTTAATCTATTCCCAACCGTGCTGTCCCGTCAACTCGTTCCTTGATCGAATCAACCTTCTGTGCCAGAGCCTGAATCTCAGCCAAAGTTCCAAGCTTACAACTCATCTCGACAATTATATGAGTCTGTGCGTTCACAGCGCGGTGTAATCCTAGCCTGGCCTGCCAGACTCATCCTCTGTTTAATTCTGCACAGAGAAAGAGTCTGGTAACTCACAGGCAGAGAGGCACTTGAGGGGCGGGACTAGGCAGCTTAAAAATGACTAATCAGAAAAAAGACGGAAATCCCGACTGTACCCCACAACGCGGTAGATTTCTAGTTGTAGTAAAAAAAATAGCGTCTGGCAACAGCGCAAACCTCTTTTATTTTTTTTAGAAGAAATGCTTTTAGTGCTCCTACTTGTTGTGGTTTTAAAGACATTTGAGTCATTTAGACGAGAGGAAAGAGTCGCAGCGAACTCCGCCGCTGTCTTCGTTGTTTATGAGAAACTGAGCGCCGCCGTGTATGACGTCCGCGACGCTGTAGTTTTTTTTTAGCTGAAGTACAAATGGAGTCTGGTGACAGCGCAAACATCTTTGTTTAGAAGAAAGGCTTTTAGTGCGTCTACTTGTTGTGGTTTTAAAGACAAGTTCAAATCATTTAGAACAAAGAAAAGAGCCGCAGCAAACTCCACTTCAGTCACCATGTTTATGACAAACTCGGCGTTGTGGTGTGTGACGCTCAGCGCTGATTGGCTCGGTTAGAATTCTCACGGGGTGGGGTTATTTGAATGGGAGAGTTCCCAGACCCTTTCTCTGTGCAGAATTAAACAGAGGAGGAGTCTGGCAGGCCAGGCTAGTGTAATCCATCCCTGAGCTCTGGGATTGAGCCAATATTCCTCAAAAGCTCATTAATTTTCCGGTAAGCCAGGTAACCACTCAGGCCAAACAGCATGAAACCTGACACCAACACCACAAATAACCAGACGTCTTCAGAATCCTCTACAGACAGTTGAAAGAGGCATATCAGGTTCCACTGTGTCCAGGAGTCCATGATGTGCCCAGCTGGCTCTGTCTCAGAGGGGCAACCAGGAGCCCCTTCTCCCATTCTCAAATAATTTTGTCAATCGCGTTGAGAGACCAACTGACCAGGTCCATGTTAAATAATTTCCAGTTTCCAGAAAAAATGCAGAAGCGCCGTACACCCAAAGACAGACAAAGAGCCTTGGATAAGATAGGGAGGAGAGGAGGAAAAAAGCGTCTGAACTCTCCAAGAGCCGGAAGAAGTTGTTGTGACATTTAGAATCTGAAACTATCAACATGTTCAAACCACGACACACAAACTAAGATGCTTTCAGTCTGTTGACTAACAAACATCAGTTAGAGGATTTAGTTCCCAGCCTAATCCCAGGTGCGTGAGGGAACGTTATCGTAGGTCCTTTCTCCCAGCAGCTGTTAGACTCTATAACCACCACTTCTCCCAACAAAACCAGTAAACAGTTTTTGCATTCCTGCAGCTTTTTGTGAAATGTGTTTGCCATATAAGATTTAAAAGCTGATTTTACTATAAACTGGTGTGGCACATGTATGTATCCTGGAACACTAGATTATCCTAGAGTGTCATGCCAGTCATCTACATTGCCATAGGTACCAAAGCCTGGTCCACGACCTGAGGCTAACCCAGGCTGGTGGTGTCCATGCCACACTGCATTAATGCAGATGTTCATACTAAAGAAGGCCCAACCAACACAGTATCGGTGCATAGAAATGAACAAACTTTAAAAAAGCCTGATGTTTCAGTTTCAA